GTGATGAAAAAGGAAACATCACAATAGACACTACAGAAATACAGAGGATAGTTAGAATTTATTTTGAAAACTTATACTCCAATAAAATAGAAGATATTGAAGGCATCAATAAATTTTTAAATCATACAATTTTCCCATATTGAATCAAGAGGATATACACAATTTAAATAGACCAATATCAAGTGATGAAATAGAAGATGTCATCAGAAACCTACCAACGAAGAAAAGCCCAGGACCAGATGAATACACAGCCAAGTTTTATAAGACCTTTAAAAAACAACTAATACAAATATTCTTCAATTGATTTTGGGAAACAGAAAAAGAGGCAACACTTCAAAACTCATCCTATGAGGCTAATATTACCCCGATTCCAAAACCAGAGACACATCAAAAAAAGAAAACTTCAGACCAATATCTCTAATGAACATAGATGCAAAAATTCTCAATAAAATTCTGGAAAATCAAATACAAAAACATATCAAAAAGATTGTGCACCACAATCAAGTGGGATTTATCCCATCGATGCAAGGTTTATTCAACATATGGAAATCAATAAAGTAATTCATCACACGAGTAGACTTAAAGATAAGAATCATATGATCATCTCAATAGATGCAGCAAAAGCATTTGACAAAATACAGCACCACTTCATGTTCAAAACACTAGAAAAACTAGGGATAACAGGAACATATCTCAATATCATAAAGACTATCTATGCTAAGCCCCGGGCCAACATCATTCTAAATGGAGAAAAATTGAAGGCACTCCTTCTAAAAACTGGAACAAGACAGGGATGCCCTCTTTCACCACTTCTATTTAACATAGTTCTTGAAACACTGGTCAGAGCAATGAGACAGATGAAAGAAATTAAAGGGATGTGGATAGAAAAAGAAGAACGTAAATTAGCACTATTTGCTGATGATAGGATTCTATAACTAGAAGACTCCAAAAGCTTCAATTGAAATCTTCTAGAACTAGTAAATAAATTCAACAAAGAAGCCAGATATAAAATCAACACCCATAAGTCAAAGGCTTTTCTGTATGTCAGTGACAAATACACTGAGAGGGAAATGAGAAAAATACCCCATTTACAATAGCCTCAAATACATACATACATACATAAATATTTGGGAATCAACAAAAGAAGTGAATGATCTAAAAAATGAGAACTATAGAACCCTAAATATACAAAAAAAAGAAGACCTTAGAAAGATTTACCTTGCTCTTGGATAGGCAGCATTGGTATTATCAAAATGAACATTCAATCAAATGCATTATACAGATTTAATGAAATTCTGATTAAAGTCCCAATGATATTCCTCATAGAAATAGAAAAGGCAGTCATAAAATTCATCTGGAAAAATAAGAGACCCAGAATAGCTAAAGCAATCGTTAGCAGGAAGAGTGAAGCATGTGGCATCACTATATCAGACCTTAACCTATACTACAGAGCAATAGTAACAAATAGAGCATGGTACTGACACCAAAACAGATTGGTAGACCAATGGTACAGAACAGAGGACACAGAGACTAACCCACAAAATTACAATTCTCTTATATTAGACAAAGATACCAAAAACATGCATTGGAGAAAAGATAGCCTCTTCAACAAATGGTGCTGGAAAACTAGAATTCCATATGAAACAAAGTAAAATTAAACCCCTATCTCTCACCATGCAGAAAACTCAACTCAAAATGGATCAAGGACTTAGGAATAAAACCAGAGACCCTGCATATAATAGAAGAAAGAGTTGGCTCTAGTCTTCATCATTTGTGGGATTCGACTCCAACTTCCTTAATAAGACTCCTACAGTGCAAGAATTAAAACCAAGAATCGATAAATGGGATGATTCAAACTAAAAAGTTTCTTTTCAGCAAAAGAAAGAATCTGTGCATTAAACAGAGTCTCTACATCTTGGAAGCAAATTTTAATCTCTCATACATCAGATAGAGCACTAATATCCAGGATATATAAAGATCTCAAAAAACTTAACACCAAACAAACAAATAACCCAATCAATAAATGGGCTAAGGAATTGAAAGACACTTCTCAGAAAAAATATACAATCAATAAATAAATATATGAAAAATTTTCAACATCTCTAGTAAATAGAGAAATGCAAATCAAAACTCCAGTCAGAATGGCAGCTATTAGGAATGCAGACAACAATAAATGTTGGCAAGGATATGGGGAGAAAGGCACACTCACTCACACACTGCTGGTGGGACTGCAATTGGTGTAGCCAATATGGAAAGCAGTGTGGAGATTCTTTAGAAAACTTGGAATGAAACCACCATTTGACCCAGCTCTCCCACTCCTTGGGCTGTCCTTAATGGACTTAAAATCAGCATACTATACTAACACAGCCACATCAATGTTAATAGCAGCTCAATTCACAATAGCTAACCTGTGGAAGCAACTTAAATGCCCTTCTACAGATGAATGAAATAAAAAACTGTGGTATATTTACACAAAGGAATATTACTCAGCATTATAAGAGAATAAATGGAATGAGTTGGAAAATATCATGCTAAGGGAAGTAAGTCAATCCCAAAAATCCAAAGGCCAAATGTCCTCTCTTATAAGTAGATGCTGATCCATAATGGGAGGGCATGCGAAATGGAGGAGCTTTGAGAGGGCAAAGGGGAAGGGGGGTTAGAAGGGGGCATGGGGGCAGGAAAGATGGTGGAATAAGATGGACATCATTACCGTAGATACATGTATGACTGCACATATGGTATGATGTTACATCATGTACAACCAGAGAAATGAAAAGTTGTGCTGCAATTGTGTACAATGAATCAAAATGCATTCTGCTATCATATATATCTAATTAAAATAAATTAATTAATTAGAAAATGAAAAAAGAAACTAGATCCATATTTGTCACCCTGCACAGGAGTCAAATAAGAATGCATCAATGACTTAGGAATTAGTCCAGAAATCTTGCAAATTCTAAAAGAAAACATAGAGCCAACATTCCATCATGTAGGTGCTGGCGACAACTTCTTTAATGAAACCCCCAGAGTGCAAGAAAATAAATCAAGAATCAGTAAGGGGGATGCCATCAGTTAACATCTGATGCACAGCAAAGGAAATGATGCAGGGAATGAAAAAAAAAGCCTATTGAACAGGAGAGGATCCTTGCCAGTCACACCCCCAACAGGGGATTAGTATTCAGAGTACACAGAACTTCAGTTCATTCAACCTTAGTTATAATAATAACAGTAACCCAAAAAAATAGGGGGCCAAAGAACTAAAGAGAAACATCTCAAAAAAGAAACACAAATGGCCAATATGTATATAAAAATTTTTTCAACATTCCTTGTAATCAGGAAATTGCAAATCAAAACTACACTAAGGCTTCATTTCACTCCAGACAGATGGCAAATGCCAGGATCACAAATCACAGTAAGTGTTGGTGAGGATGAGGGGAAAATGTACACTCATACACTGTTGGTGGGACTGCAAATGAAGGAAACCACTCTGGAAAGCAGAACAGAGAATCATCAAATAACCAGGAATGGAACCACCACATGACCAGCTATCCCACTCCTTGGTATTTTCCCAAAAGATTGAAGATCAGCATATTACAGGGACCCAGCCACCTAAATGTTTATAGCAGCACAGTTCATAATAGCTAAATTATGGAATCAGCCGGTACCTGTGAAGAGAGGAATGGATTAAGAAACTGTGCTTTTTATAACTGACTTCTTCAAGGTCACGGAGTAAGTGATCTCTCTCTCTCTCTCTCTCTCTATGTCTCTCTCTCTTTATCTCTCTTAGTCTTTATAACTGTCACAAAATTGTCTGCATCACAATTTTGAAGGAAATTGGGTTTTACTGTCACAGTCACTTCCTGTTCTGCTCAGCCACATAGAAGCATGACATTATGACATTTGCTAGTAAATTGATGTACACGGAGAACATCGTGCTAAGTGAAATGAGCCACACTCAGAAAAATCAAAGGTCAGGGCTTGGATTGTGTATCAGTGGTAGAGCTCTTATCTAGCATGTGCGAGGCCCTGGGTTTGATCCTCAGCACCACATAAAAAGAAGTAAACAAAATAATAAAAAAAGAAGAAAATCAAAAGTCAGTTTTTTTTTCTCAGCTGTGGACACTAGACTTAAATAAAGAAAAGAGGGAGAGAAGAAGAGGATATAATAAAGATATAGGAAAGGTCAGCAGAATAGAAGGAGATCAAGAGTCAAGGAGGAGAGATGGAAAAAAACAGAGGAAATGCAGAATGAACTCTTTAAAAATTATGTTATGTGTAATATAAGTACATAATAGGAAATTTCACATTTTGTATAAATCAAAATAATCAATCAAAAATAAATAAAAACATGAGCAAAATGAAGTCTAGTAGAAATTAAGAAAGAAGAGGGGATGTGGTTTGAGTATGGGAAGGAAAGGGGGAATTCCATGATACTTAATTCCATGCATGTATGGTTTTGTCAGGATGAACCCAACTGTTATGTGTAACTATAATTTATTAAAGAAAAAAATGTTTGCAAAGATTGACCATGGTAGGAGGTGACCAAGTTCCCCCCCCAACACTGAGCAGGTCTTAGGAGCCTCCTCCTCCCTCTAGCTGAGTAGCTCTGTGTGTAGTTGCTGCAGAGTGAGGCCACCAGCAGCCACACCAGGGCCTCAGAGTCAGTAGTCTGTGGCACGTTCTGGATGTCCTGCGACTCCAAAAAAGACTGTCACTATGGCCCAGGAAACCATGAGGGGCCTAGTGGACCAGCACAGATCCAGAGAAAAGGAGGCCTTGTTTTTCAGATCCTGTCCAATTCCTTATGAAAATGCAGCATGAGAGACCCTTAACCATGCTCCTGGTTTCTACTTCTCAATTTTGGAGGAAATGCTTGTCACTCTGTCACAGTCACTTCCTCTTGCAGCAAGGGAGGCAGGGTGTCAGTTCTCTCCAGAGAGCAGAGTCGGGGTCTCCCCAGCACAGACACTGGGACAGAGCAGGCTCCTCAGGGCTCCACCATGTCTGCACCTGCCTCCTGGCCCCAGTGTCCCTGTCCTGTCCTGCTGCTGACCCTCCTGCTGGGACTCACAGGTGAGTGACCACTGTCTGGGGCAGAGTCCTCTCTCCTGATCCCTGGGTCAGCTCTGCCCGTGGACTCCCAGGGACTCAGGACAAGCACAGGCTCTGCCATGGAGGCTGGGACAGGGCATTCTCTGGAGCCCAGACCAAGGGTCCTGAGCTCTGTCTCTGGGAGGCCTCCCCTGCAGCTGGGGCCAGAGGCGTCACATCAGCTGATGCTTCAAACAGCAGTGACAAGAATCACCTGCATATTGTAATACTTCAGCCTACATGATATATTTCCAGAAGTATCGTCCTTATGAATTCTGAGACATCAAAGATAAGGTGACTTCCTCAAGACCATGGAGTAAGTGATATGATCTCTCTCTCTCTCTCTCTCTCTCTCTCTCTCTCTCTCTCTCTTTCTCTCTCATAGTCTGGCTGTGAGGTACATGGCTCTGTCCCATCATACCTTCCCCTCCATTGATTTGGTGCCTCCCACAGGTCCAATAGCCTTGGGGACAATCAATGCTGAGCTGAAACCTCTAAAACTGTGAGCTGTCATCATACTTTTCTCTTCATAAGTGGATTTGTCTCAGGTATTACTTACAGTAATGAAGAGTTGACTGACACAGGCTGTGACGATGTCCATACCCTTATCTACATCATAGGGGGCCAGTGGAAGGCTCTAGGCCTCAGGAACTTTGCTAGTAATGACTTTCAATTTTTTGAACACTCACCATGAGCCAGACTCTCTGAAATGCTATACAGCTCATCACGTGACCATGACACTCACAGCAGGATCTTCTACATATAGAATTGTGTCAGTGGCAAACAGAGATGGTTTGAGTTCTTCTTTTCCTATCCATATTCCTTTAATTCCTTTCTTCTGTCTAATTTCTCTGGCTAGAGTTTCAAGGAAGGTGTTGAATAAAAGTGGTGAGAGGGCGTCCCTGTCTTGTTCCAGTTTATAGAGGGAATGCTGTCAGCTTTTCTTTACCTAGAATGGTGTTAACCTTGTGTTTTGCATATATAGTTTTAAAAATGTTGAGGTATGTTCCTACTATCACTAGTTTTTTAGTGTTTTGAATATGAATTGATCCTGAATCTTGTCAAATGCTTTCTTTCTCTGTATATATTGAGATAATAAAGTAGTTCCTGTCTTTAAGTCTATTGACATGATGGATTACGTTTATTGATTTCCATATATTGAACCAATATATCCTTTCATCCTTGAACATCAACCTCACTTGATCATGGTGCATTATATTTTTAATATGTTTTTTATGTTATCTGTCAGTATTTATTAAGAATTTTTGCATTTTTGTTTACCAGGGATATTAATCTGAAGTTTTCTTTCCTTGATGTGTCTTTGTCTAGTTTGGTATCCAGGTGATACCAGCCTCATTTAATGAGTTTGGAAGGGTTCCCTCCTTTTCTAATTCATGGAATAATTTGAGGTGCATTGATGTTAGTTCTTCTTTGAAGATCTGTTCAAACTAGGCTGAGAATCCATCTGCTCTTGGGCTTTTCTTTGTTGGTCATCTTTTGATGACAACTTCAATTTCATTGCTTAAAATGATCTGTTTGAATTTTCTATGTCTTTATGATTCAGTTTGGGTAGATCATATGTGTCTCAAAATTTGTCAATGTCTTCAATACTTTCTATTTTATTAAAGTAAATATTTTCAAAACAGTTTCTGATTATCTTCTGCATGTCAGTAGTGTCCATGGTAATATTTCCTTTTTCATCATGAATTTTTATAATTTGACTTTTCTCTCTCCTTCTCTTGGTTAGCTTGGCTAAGTGGTTGTAACATTTATCCCTTTTTTTTTCAAAGGACCAAACTTTTTCTTTTTCAATGTGTAAAATTGTTTTTGTTTCAATTTTATTGATTTCATCTCTTATTTAATTATTTTTTGTCTTGCATTGTGTTTGGTGTTGAGATTTTTCTTGATTTTCTAGGGCTCCAGATGTAATATTAAGTTATTTATTTTGTGACTTTCTATTCTTTTCATGAATGAGCTCAATGCAATGAACTTTCCTCTCAGCACTGCCTTCACAGTGTCCCAGAGTTTTTGATATGTTGTATTACGATTCTCATTTACCTCTAAGTATTTCTTTTATTTCATCCCTTATTTCTTCTACTATCCATAGGTCATTCAAAGGTGTAATATTTTATCTCTGGGTGTTAGAGTAACTTCTTTTGTTAAATTATTGATTTCTTATTTTATTCCATTCTCATTAATCAACTGTGGGGTATCAGATTGGGGGATATACAGTGGTTTTTTGATCCCCACAAAGCAGTACAAATTCAGACAATACCTCACTTTTAAAGATGGCACCAAGCAACCCCAGCCTGGGCTCTGGGGTTGGTGGGGAGATGATGTGGGATCCTTTTCCAGTGCAAATCTAGTGTGGGGACTCCAGGCTGCTCCCTAACTGTCCTCAAGCCTGTATTGGCTGTGAACCTTTCCAGCAGCTATGACGCTGACATAGCTTGGACCTTCCCTCATCGTTGCTCTGCAAAGGGGAGCCGAACCTCCTCTGCCTGGAAAGGCAGCTTTGAAAATGCCAAGTCTTTGTTCCTTTTTTTTACTATTTTAATTTTTTTTTTGAGCATGGAGCACATATGAATTTTACAAAATAATGGGTTTCCCTGTGACATATTCATACATGTGTATAACATATTATGATCAAATTCACTCCTAATGCCCCTGATACCTCTCTGCACTCTCTTTTCTCCCTCCCTGTTTCCGTCCCCCCTTTCTCTTTCACGAAGCCCTCTTTTCCCCCTGTCTATTTTCCACATATGGAAGAAAACATTACTTGTCTCTCTGAGTTTGGCCTATTTTTCTTGACATCATGATCTCCAGCTACATTCTTCTTCCTGAATGTGGGGTAATTTCATTCTTCTTTATGGCTAAATATAATTCCATTGTGTAAATGCAGCACATATTCTTTATCCATTCATCATTTGAGAGATACTTACAAAGTTCACTAATGCAGAGGAAAAGGGGTCCTCATCCTGAGGAGCAATAGTGGACACAAGTATGTCTTGTACATTCTTTATTTGTGACCATGTACCTTTTTATGGGGGGGGGGGAGTTACCTGGGATTAAATCAGGGGCACTCGCCCACTGAGCCACATCCCAGCCCTCTAAATAAAATTTTGTATTTTATTTAGAGGCAGGGTGTCACTGAGTTGCTTAGTGTCTCACTTTTGCTGAGGCTGGCTTTGAACTAGGGATCCTCCTGCCTCAGCCTCCCAAGCCTCTGGGATTACAGGTGTGTGCCACTATTCCTGGTGTGACCATTTAATTTTAAGGGAGAGACTCTTAGTCTGTCACCTCAAAGTCCAAGTACATTTTCCAAAGGTGACTTATAACCTCAAATTACTTCTTTGGGCATCTGAAGGAGAGAGGGCTCAAATTGCTCCTTCCCCTGATCTTGTACCAGGATCCATCCATCACCTTGGACAGCAGCCATGGACGGGGTGGGAGATGGAGATCAGCAGCATCAAGGAAGCAGCAGAGAAGAGGCTTCCAGCAGTGCAGCAGCATGGACATTTAGGGGGTAACAGAGGACTGTCCTTGGGAGGGCGACCATGTGAAGTCAAGAGGGAAAAGAACCAGTTAACCTTTATCATGAATGCCACTCACCAGGTGGTGCACACTGTAAACAGGCTCATCCAGCTGTTGTGTGGCCCTCTGCCCCCTTGACTCTCACAGTAGCACTCAGCAGTGGATACTCAGCTCCTCATGGAACTACACACCCTCCAGCAGAGGTCCTTCCTGAAATCACATTCCCACACAGTGCACTGGCAAAGAGCCAATTCACAGGGTCTGGTGTTCCAGATTCCAATGGTAGGATGATTCTGCAGCTGGGGCAAAGCTAGGAACTGGTATTCCAATGTGCATTCTTGGAGTTGGGACAGAACCAATTTTAAAGTGGAGAGTGTTAGCAGGTCTCTGAAAAAGCAACAGAGAGCTGCATAAAACAGTGTGCAATATAGCTAGCAGTCCAGAGAGCTGTGCAACCTGTCAGAGCCATTGGGGACAGCCAGGGTGAGGCATGAGGAGTCAGAGGCCATGCCCCAGGGACTTTGCTCTTGACTTCAGAACGTCCCTTCCTCATCTCCACTCTGTGGCGAATGGGAGGGTTGATCCCACTGATGTGCAACATAAGGATCACCCCCAACAGAGCTGTGGGAACTGCACCTGGAAAGACACCAGAAATTGAGGATTTTTCAGGAACACAGTTCCTAGAGAGAACTCCTGGGCAAGTGCCTGGTTGGGGTCCCTGCAGAGCACACAAGCCAATATTGTGAGGGATTTCACAGGTGTATGAATGTCACTAGATCCCAGACCAGGGGAACTCATGGTTGAGTCTTTTTGGCTGAATGAAGTGCTCACATCTATTTGCGGGGATATTGGGCACCATAAAATTTAAAACATGTATAAGATATTTATTTTTTGGTATTCCTTGGCCTCATTATCTACAATACTTTCATTTCAACCTAATGGTCTCCTTTCGAATTTCTTGCAGCACATTTCTAGAGGTAGTGCCCTACTCAGCTTTTATTATTTGAAAATATCTTCATTTCTCATTTATGTTGGAAGGACAGTTGTGCCAGGGATAGAATTCTTGGTACATTTTTATTCAACAGTTTAGATCAATCATTTTATGTCTCTGATTCCCATCATTAAGAATTTGATATAAACCTCAGGAAGCTCTCCTGTGTCTGGTGGACAGGCCTCTCTTTCTGATTCAGTATTTTCTCTTTTACTTTAGCTTTGGCAGATTGGTTTCCAGTAGCCTCGGTGTGGGTCTGCTCACGTTGATGGTCCCTGGAGTTTGTTCAGTATCTTGGATTAGAACATTCATATACTTGATCATATTCAAGATTGTGGAGGTCATTTCTCTTTCAAATAAACTTTTATTATTATTTTTTCATTTTTGTACCTCTGGGATTCTCATGTTTGTCAATACCCTTTCTGACATCTTGAATGGATTTAGGTTCTTTTTTAGA